TGATTTTTCGGGAAATTCAAGAAACCTGCAATTTGATAATAGGGTTCTTCCGCAATAAGTTAAATGATAATACAGATTAGGAAAATCTACAGATATAAATAACATTTCTACATACAGTAAAATAAAACTGCATATAGCATTTATTAAAGTATATTCCACTGCGTGTCCTAATGCCCCGTCCATAAAGCTCGATAACCACCGTTTTCATAGGAAAACATACAGGTTGTAGGGATTGATGAGTGGGGCTACATAAGCTACAGTTGCCCAAGGCACTACCGGAGCCGCCAGTCGAATCACAGTTGGTTCAAGTTACCCGCTCAAGCTACTGCAGCGAATAGAATCAGCCAGTTCTGATACGGTAAGCTGATTCCCCAAGCAGGGTTTTCTGAGCAATAAATCTATATTGGGTCAACTCAAAATAAATATATAATCCGCCAAATGACTATCAGACACCATTCGTAGGGGGTAAGACCTCATAGCTCAGTTGGTTCGAGCATAAAATTGAAATAAAATCCGAAAAGTCAACTTGGAAAACGCATGTTTTCAGTAGCTCATTATCGGACCTATAGAATTCCATAGGTAATTTAAATATGAGGGTTGAACAGGGCTTATAAATGTCTTATGGTTAATACTCATCGTCCTGACGCCCCGCATAGTGGGGTCGGCATATTGAGGTCAGTGGGACTGGGGGAGGGGAAAAGTAGGAGAGGCTGTGAGAAATATGTAAAAGTCGAGTACGGCGAATGGACAACACTGTCAGGCGGTGATCGCATGTCACCTCCATCCCCTGATGACAACTGTTAACTCCAGTTAACAGTTGTCATCAGGGGATGGAGGTGACATGCGATCACCGCCTGAAGTCGGCGCCAGACACGGCAATGAAAGCACATGCATTAGCGTCTTCTGAGAGCACAGCACTGGATTCGCTGGCCGTATAGTCACTGTCTCGGCTGTTGCTAGCGCTTGTTGGTGTAGTTCCTGAGAGAAGTTGGCTGTTATCTGGTATACAACCTGAAAGGTAACTTTGGAATCGATTCAGTGATTAGTTTCGACTAATTTTGCGTTTATTGAGCCAGGTAGATGTGTTCAGCATCCTCTTTTCCAAGCGCCTCGTTGTTTGGCCAATGTATCCCGCTGCACAGTAACAGATAACAGAGTAACTGCACACCGATTTCGCCTTCAAGGGGAGTCGGCCTCCATATTCCAGGCGTAGGAAGGGAGATTTCGTGAAGAATACGCGTGGATGAACCGCAGGGAAAGCGCTTGTGGGTACTAGTAACAGTCGAGACAGTGGCTGTATGGCCAGCGCATCCAGTGCTATGCTGTCAGAAGACCTTAGGACAGACGCTTTCTCTTCTGTGACTGGCGCCCACTTCAAGTGGTGATCAAATGTTGCCCCCACCCCCGAGAGTAGTTGTTCGTTCATTCCCCGTACTCGAGTGAGGAACATTGCTCACACCTCTTTCACTTTCTCTCCTCCCCCGGTATCAATGACCTCAACATGTCAACCTTGCCATGCGGGCGGCGTGGGAATGATGAGTATTAACCATGGGACATTGATATACCCTGACTAACCCTCCTATTTTCATTACCTGTATACATTTATAGTTCCAATGATGAATTACTCAAAATATATGTTTGCTGAATTAACTTTTCGAATTTAACATAGGAATATTTTCAGAACTCAAATGAAATTGTCTTTTGTTATTTTTTTCTATCCTCCACGACTGTTATTTGTCTCGATCGGGGACTCAGACACGAACATAAAGGTCTAATTTTCGTGAGGGGACGAGTAGGTCGCCTTTGCTAGGTCTCCAATTTATTGCGTCACACTATTGATTGGTATCCGCTTTGTCTTAAGTATTTCACGACGGTAACTGCTTCAGTCTTGCACACACTCTCTCTGTCAAGGAAAGTAATGTCTGCTAGTTTAACTCAGATGAGATTTCGCAAGTGATAATCGGAGAAAATGAAGTTGTCCGCTGGAACAGGTTGGTCCTGTTGCTGACGTTTCAACGATTTTTTCGGCTCTCCTGGTCTTTATGTAAGATGGCCACGCCGAAATTAAGAAAGTCGATAAGACATAGCCCAACGATTAACGCACTCAAAGGGGAGGCAGAAGTACAAGCATCTTCCATCGAGATGAGGACGCGTAATGTAAGTGGCTGTAAAACCCTACAAACATCTGCCAAGTAGCTGAATCAACGAAAGAGCAATAAAAATCTATCAATGCATAGTCAACAAGTTCGACCAGTT